TCAATCCGCACTTCAAAGTTTTGGCGCATGGTACCCATTTTTTGTCCCATGTTTATTATATCTTCTCTCATGGCCGCCATCATTTGCCTCATGGTATCTTGGGGAACATATTCTCCATCAGCCATCTTTCTCTCAGTATGTTATCCCTTACAATACTTAGCAAATGGATTACGATACCAATGAAATAGTAAGTGAAAAATCAAGTAAACAAGACTACTAACTCGATCAGTGATGAGAACAAGCTTAACAATCAATATCACTCAAATAAACACTAACACATAGAGGACTTTTTATGGGTTTTTATGGGTTTATGAAAAGAACTAATCAACTTAAGTGATGCAAACAAATAAATCGGACCTAATTTTTTTGGGGTTTTCTTTTGATAAAAACTAAAACAAAAGAAATAATAAAACTAGCAAACGATTTTTATGGTTTTGAAATGAAAAAGGACAAAGGAAAAGCAAGCAAAAACAAAGCAAAACCTAATAGCAACGGATCTGAAATATAAAAGAAAGATAGAAAACCGAAGATAGAATCTTCGGCTCTGATACCAGATGATGTAAGACTCGATATAAGAGGCTTAGACACACAGTTCAGAAGGTGAATGGTGGGAATAACACACTGGTATTGTCGCTCTCTCGTGCTACTCAAGGGATGGAAACAGTACGACAAGACTTGATCTCCAAGGTTTGAAGTTGAACGGGATTTATCAAGTTTGCTATGACGCTCTCTCTTGAGGGATCGAATGATGGTTAACGAAGTGAATTGATGGCACCACAAAGACGATGGAAGGATCTCTGATACAGCAAAGACTCATACTTAGTTGAATCACTCAAACTAAGACAAGACTAGGTTTTCTAAGCAAGCGGCGACTTGAAGCAAGTTTGGTTCTTTATTGATAATCAAAAGGTAAAATGTTACAACGCTGCAGTGGAGCTTTATAAAAAGCTTGTCAGCTAGCCCTATGGCCAAAATAAAAGCAAAGAAACGATGACACAAAGCAAAAGAAAAGCTACAAAACGCATAAGGCAAAAATACATGAAAATGGAAAGTTCACTTAACTAAAAAGAAACAAAACTAAGCCGACTCTCTTGATACCTTTAGGGCTCGAACTTGGGGTGCATTGACTTGTTGTTGTGCTTAACGACCGTTGGGACAAGCCATGTTACCTGCAAAGATTGTATAAATTGAGAATACCTTGTTTTGGAGCGCATTAAGCTTGTTTGGCAAGTTTTTGTATAAGCCCGGTCCGGTGCTAGTTTGGCAGCGTTCCTTGAAGATCTTATCTTCTTGATAATCACTTATGTCGAGCTGGTACGTGGCTTCAAAATTTCCACCACGTTCTTGGTGTAAAACGCCTTCTTGCTCCATTGGTGTTGTTTCGGCTTCTTGACTTGAATTGGGCGTATCTTGGTGCTCCTGTATGGTATTTGTGAGATTCAAGTTGCTTTGAGCTCTATTTCCTGTCAGGTAAATAGACATACCTTGGTTTGTATCCGGCTGACCTTCTTTAAAGCTCCTCTTGGTAAAATCCTCTGAAATGTCTACTTTGGGTGCTATGGCCTTTGGTTGGGGGTTTAGTAGCGTTCCCATGTTTATGTTGATTAGGAGTGTTTCCACGGCAGTGTTGAACCCTTCTATCAGTCTCCTGGTCTTTGAACGAGTCAAGGGTGAACCGCTTACTGGTGGTACGATAACCTGTCCCGTTTCTACTCGTCCCGGTACCTCCGTTTGCCCTAGTTCCTCTCGTCCCGGTACATTCATTTGCCTTGGTTCCTCTCCACCCGGTACATACGGCTGGTCGATGTCCTCATCAGAGGCGATATAGGATCTGATTGGCCCCAAGTTGTGTTTGGAATTTCTTTTTCATTTATTTTTAATAAGATAAAACTCGAGACTATTACGTATAAGGGCATTTTTAAAGTTTTGATAACAAAACATGCATTTGTTGGTGAAGATGCACTTTCAATAGGCGAAAAGAGAAATAATTATACTCACATGCACTTTTACCTGTTTACATTACAATATTAGTCACTTTGCGCACATGAGGCACTTTGTGCACCAAGGACTCGGCAAAAATCTCAAAACACCGGTTTATTTTTACTGGCACTAACTAATAATTTACTGCTCGACATCTTTTGCACAGCTGGAGTAAGCCTAGCGCCGCGAGTGACATAGTCAATCATGATTCCCTTATTTTCATGAAAACGCTGTAACCTGTCGATTATTCCAATCGTCACATACACATATAATTACGAGCACGAAATGTCGAGGATGATGATGCACAGCGACTCCAGCGGGGCAAAAGATTGACAGATGATTCACGGCGACTCTGGCTGCAACAGGGGACGGGATGATGCAAACTGCAGGAATTTCCAGTATTGTGAACGAATAAATCACGCCGGCCGACCCCGACTCATACGACGTCCCCGAGTATACATTGAGTACACATTCTTAGACTAATTAGAGGACGGGTTACTTTCTGTTCGTTAGAGCCCATCTTACCTTTAGAAAATAGACCCCCCCCCCCTCCCCCACCGCTCGGTTCTAGTTTGGCCGCGTTCCTCTAAGATCTTATCTTCTTGATAATCACTGATGTTGAGCTGGTACATGGCTTCAAAATTTCCTCCACGTTCTTGGTGTAAAACGCCTTCTTGCTCTATTGGTGTTGTCTCGGCTTCTTGGCTTGAATTGGGCGTATCTTGGTGCTCCTGTACGGCATTGGTGAGATTCTTGTTGCTTTGAGCTCTATTTCCTGTCAAGTAAATAGACATACCTTGGTTTGTATCCGGCTGACCTTCTTTAAAGCTCCTCTTGGCAAAATCCTCTGAAATGTCTACTTCGGGTGCAATGGTCTTTGGATGGGGGTTTAGTAACGTTCCCACGTTTATGTTGGTTAGGAGTGTTTCCACAGCAGTGTTGAAACCTTCTATCAGTCTCCTGGTCTTTGAACGAGTCATGGGTGAACCGCTTACTGGTGGTACAATAACCTGTCCCGTTTCTACTCGTCCCGGTACCTCCATTTGCCCTGGTTCCTCTCGCCCTGGTACATTCATTTGCCTTGGTTCCTCTCGACCCGGTATGTACGGCTGGTCAATGTCCTCATCAGAGGCGGTATAGGATCTGATTTGCCCCAAGTTGTGTTTGGGATTTCTTTTCTATTTATTTTTAATAGGATAAAACTCGAGACTATTACGTATAAGGGCATTTTTAAAGTCTTGATAACAAAACATGCATTTGTTGGTGAAGATGCACTTTCAACAGGCGAAAAGAGAAATAATTATACTCACATGCACTTTTACCTATTTACATTACAATATTAGTCACTTTGCGCACATGAGGCACTTTGTGCACCAAGGACTCAGCGAAAATCCCAAAACACCTTTTTTATTTTTACTGGCACTAACTAATAATTTACTGGAACAAAATTTACTAGCCGACATCTTTTGCACAGCTGGAGTAGGCCTAGTGCCGCGAGTGACTCAGTCAATCACGATTCCCCTGTTTTCATGAAAACGATGTAACCTGTCGATTTTTCTAATTGTCGCATACACATATAATTATGAGCACGAAATGTCGTGGACGATGATGCACAGCGACTCCGGTGGGGCAAAAGATTGATAGATGATTCACGGTGACTCTGGCTGCAACAGGGGACGGGATGATGCAAACTGCAGGAATTTCAAGTATTGTGAACGAATAAATCACGCCGGCCGACCCCGACTCATAAGACGTCCCCGAGTATACATTGAGTACATATTCTCAGACTAATTAGACGACGGGGTACTTTCTGTTCGTTAGAGCCAATCTTACGTTTAGACGTACACACGAGGCCAGTCCGATGGTTGTACAAAACGAAATGGACATATATCTCCACCGCCTGTGGCTAGCCTCTTCTGGATAGCGTCTCGTGGACGTAGAGAAAATGGGCACCCCCCCCCCCCTCCCCCGCGCTGAATACCCATTTGCCTCGTCCGGACGACCCCTCTCACTCAACGTCGACTGGCCATGGATAGAGTCTGGTGGACGAAGAAGTAGGCTGAAACACAAACATTTTCTGTACCTACTATCACGAAAATTGATTTTTGGTGGAATTAGTCTAATCATGTGGGGTTATAGGTTCATCTCCCAACATGCACTCATTTTCTAGCTTATTCAATGCCTATAGAACCTAATTGGATCCTTAGGTGGGTTCAGCACACCGAGTGGGAGTAGTCAAATCATGTGGGGTTGTAGTTCTGTGCCTCAGATCTAATCGTTCGTTCAGGCGTACACACGAGACTTGACTGATAGATGGACGAAACAATAAAGACATATCTCTTCACCCCACCGTTCCCAGCCTATGCTGAATATCGTCTCGAGGATACAGAGCTAATGGACACCGGCTCTGAATATCCATTTGATTGCCCAGACGATATAAAGTGTCTTCGTTTATAGGAACACATGAGGCTCAGCTGATAGATGTACGAGATGTAATGACACCCCCTTTTCCAGCCTCTTCTGGATAACATTTAAAGAATGAAGAGGTAATGGATACCTACACTCGGTGGCGACTGGCCATGGACAGACTATCGTGGATGAATATACCTAATTTCAACAGTAGTGCACAATTTCACAAGAAGTAGGCGGGAAACTTAAACAATTTGTGAGCCTTGCATTATGCAAATCAATTTTTTATAGGGTGGAGATTTTTATCCATTGGACAGTTAGTTGACTTTAGCACACACAGTGCACGGTTCACCATGAACTAAGTGGGATTAGTCTAATCATGTGAGGTTATCAACAAGCACTCGTTTTTTTTAGCTTATTCGATGCTCACTGAACATAATTGGATCCTGAGGGGATTTCACCACACCGTAGGTTCGTATTTTCTAGGTTTTTTTTACCTTGCCACAACAACGGATTTCTTGTCCATATGTACTAATTCACAACTTTTATTTCTGCAGAGGATCAAAACCACCACCGCTTTTTGATCTGTTTACCTCACAAGACAGCCCTAAATGGATGACCATTGTTTTGTCGTATGCGGCGAATGGAAAATGGACGGGAGTAGATGGAACTCCATTGCCGACAGTGGTCGCATGTCCAGAGTTGTTGAGTTGGGCAAAGGGATGACCATCCTGGAGCTGAACAGGGCTGTGCTAAGCGAGTTTTACGAGGATGGTTTTGCTGGGGTTTCCACCTCTCTTAGCTACTGGCCACCTAACTCAACCGAACTTGCCACTGGAATTACGATACCTCCGGTGTTGGTTACACACAAATGAGTAGTTAACTTCTATTTCAAACATTTTCGTGTTAGCCCGTCGATGAACCTTTTCGTTTCTTTTGGTGTGGAGCCCAAAGGCAACATTAAGGCGGGAGGAAATAATTCCACACGACCCAACAACCTGACAATCACTTTTAGCACGGGTTATATTGCAGTGAGGTTATCAAACTCAAATGCAAGACATGTTGTAGTACAGCAAGCAAGAGAGAGTCAATCCACTTCTAGGATGATAGAGAATGCACAGAGAATACAAGGACTAAAGCAAATCTAAGTGAAATGAGACGGTTTATGAGAAAATATCTAAAAACTAGATGCAGCAACTTAAACAGAATGAAACCTATTTTAAAAATACTAGAAAGGAAGAAACTACCACGAGAAACAAACAGAATACTTAAAGGAGAAAGCTTCGAATTATTAAAATTCGACTAGTGGATCGACCATGAGATCGACCACTAGATCGAGCAGTAACAATCGATCTCGTCTAAAAATGCAAGGACAGTAAAACTAATGACCAGGATGCTATCAGAGATCAAGCGAAAGATGAGATAAGATGTAAGGATGCTAAGAGAAAGGGCCTAGGGTTGAGATTCATGGTTAGGGGTTTCAAAGGTTTGACCTTGGGTTTAAAACTTTAAATCGACTCACTTGGTGAGGATCTCTAAGCCTTGAAAACTAAACAAGATCTATCTGTGGCTTTTGGTGGAAAGAGAGGTCGAAGGGCATGGAAAACAGATTTCAAATGGTTTTGACTTGCCATTTGTTCCATCTTTGCAAGAGGCTGATGTGTTCATGGACTTTCTTCAAAGACCCTCCTTGGGTACTCCTCACTGTTGTATCTTGGAGTATCTGATTCTTCCTCTTCTTGAATTCCTTCTCCCATTTGCCCTCCTTCAAAGACCACAAGGGGATAGTCTTCTTGAAGAAGAGGAGTGTTCGCACCTTGGTGAATGTAAGAGGATGGAGAGCCAGCTTGGTAGAGAAGGTGATGTGGAATTTGAAAGGTAAATCTGTTGGGGTTGGAGAAGGATGTGAGATGCACATCAGGGAGTAGAAACTTTGCAGCAGATCCATCTTCTTGGATGATGTTATAGATGAACTTGTCACCCACTTTTTCGCCAAGGAACCTTGCTTTCTTCAGTTATGGTAGGTCTAAGTATGTGATCTTGACTGTTGCTGGTCCACTCTCAACTCATGCAGCTTCCATCAGTTGTGTAATAAGGCCAAGACAATACAGCTTTGGCGCCTTGTCATCTTTGGTTGTTAACCAATGTTTGATGATCAAAAGTTTCTGCATGAAGATAGTGACCATTCCAGTTGTCCCATCTGCTCCCTTAAGCTTAACACCTTGCTTTGTGCAGTCAAGTATGCTCATAAGACCCTGATCAATCAGCTCCCATTCTCCTCCTTCAACCGCTCCACTTTCCTTCCTAGCAAAGAGTGTATACGCCAGCGCCTTGTGCACATATCTGATGGCTGGATTTCTGATCAGAGAAGCCTTGCTTCTTCCTGGCTTGAAAGCGCCCTTGGCTACATGTTCCCAAAGGCTGTTCATCCATTCTTTGTGTACCCCCAGATTCTGTCCTCTAGCACTTCCATAAGAGAACCCAAAGGCATCTTCTATTGCTGAGAAGGACATCCTATAGTTCTTCTTTGAAACTCTGAAAGTGATGAAGCCATCACCATCTTCTTCAGGAGTTTCCTCTCATGGCTCATAGAATGTCACTTCAAAACTTGCAAAGAACTGAAGCACTTGATCCTTGTTGGCTGAATAAGGAGTTCCCACCAGCTTTGTGAGCTCCATTGTCTCAAACATAAAAGACCAGTCTTCATAGATTCCCAAGACCTTTAGAGATGGCACATGAGGGTACCTAGTTGGCCTCACATCCACCTTTTGCAGCTTGACAAAGAGTTGCCTTTGAGCTGGGGTGGTGCCCTTCTTCTTTTGAGGAACTGGCACACTAGCGCCAACATCAGCCCTCTTTTTTCATTGAGATTTGGCGCTTGGACTCCCAACTTCTTTTGCTTTTTCCGTTCCTTTCTTTTGCCTCTCAGTCTCTTTGTTTGCTCCACTTCTTGTTGTTCTTCCTATGGTACCTAAAACATATTCTCAAAAGAAAAATCAGAACCATGGAAGCAACAAAACACAAAGCTTAATGTTGCTAAAGATCACAAAAAAGAGGAGCTTATTTACTGAAAATCAAACCTCTATCAGTTGTGAAACAACTAAATAAGCAATGCATGCAAAAAATTCATTGAACACAATTTATCATTAAATTGAAAATCATGAATCTTAGCATGGTGAAACAAAACAAATGGACTAAAATGCTAATGCAAAGCTAAATAAATGAATTTGACAAGCAAGTATTTATTAGTCTAAATGCTTCAAAGGTCAAAAACAATCTATTCACCATGCAAAATAAATAAAAGAAATAAGAAGCATTACTCACAAATCAAGCAAGTAACCACAATATATAATGAACTTCTTAAGTGCTTAAGGCAAATTATAAATATATAAAGAGCTGAGTGATATTACCTTGAGTGGTTTGGCTCTCTTAAACACTAAAAACACTAAAGAGTTCGAAATTTTTGTGGTTGTAAACAAAAAAATGAAAGGTGGGTGTGTTTAAATAGAGGGTTGGGGGAATATTTTTGTGGGGAGCAAGAGGATAAAGTAGCCTAAGAGTGGTCCCACTCATGCTTGGGAAGGGGAAGGATTCAAATTTAAACTCCTTGATCTAGTTTTACCAAGGAGGGAAAAATTTTGAAATGAAGAAAACTTACCTCGGGTGCAATATCGACCAGCCAAGTCGATATAGTGACCGATATTGATCATATCGACTTGGTCTGGTGGATATGCATGCTAATATCGGATGTCTGGGTCGTGATATCGACCTGTATGCACGTCGATATTGCTTGAAACCTTCTGTATCGATGTCCCTCATGTCGATACGTAGTCTGATGATCATTCTTGGCTGTCTAATATCGAGTTAGTAAAATTCCACATCGGACTTGCATGTCGATATTCACATCGATACACCTTGACTTATGCTGAAAAACATGTTTTCATTAGTCCTCTAAGGTGTATCGACATGGGACGTTGATTTTCACCATGATATGCCTTAAAAAGGGCGATTAGTCACCTTTCATCCTCTCAGTTAAGGCATATCAGTGTGTTACGTAGATATTGTGCTCGATATGCACTCATTGGTGTCGTATTGACCTGGTACATCGATACATGTGATTGATATTGGTACCAGTTGAGACATATCGATATGTTTGTTACATGATACATTGCCATTGAAGGCGTATCGATTTGCCTTATACCGGTACTCTGATCGATACTTGATCCTCTCCTGTGTATCGATCAGGATCATCGCGATATGCATGTCGATACAAATCTAATGTACTTGTATCGAGCAAGATATGCTCGATACACTTGCTCAATATGAGCTGTATCGACATGCATGGCCGATATGCTGGTCGATATTTACCCTTCTTCGACTCCTTCCTTCTCCCAAGCTTGGTTCCTTCATCCTCAGCTTGAACCTAGTTACTAGGGACACTAAAAAAACCCACATAAACATTAAAAACATAAAAATACAAAGTTATATACAAGTATACCATGGGATTGCCTCCCAAGTGCGCTTGTTTAGAGTCACCTAGCTTGACATTCCTCAACTCCTTAGTTGAGGTGTGGGGCAAGAGTGATATATCATGGTTTTTATGGTTTTTAACTATGGTATAAGTCCTTTTTATTGAGTCTTTTTGGTCTTTTTAGGTCCTAGTAGAGTCTTTGCAGGTTATAACATGTTTGTAGCATAATTGGAAGTATTGAAACATTTTGGAGAATTGCAAGTTACAGCCCCGAAGTATACGAGTCAGAAGGCGATTGTTGGCTTAGGAGACGCTCGTCACCACACAAGGGTGACGCTCGTCACCCGTAGAAGAAGGGGATTGCGGCTTGTTTTTAAAAGATTGAGGATCAATCACAGTTTTGGCCCAGAATTTCTAGTATTTGCGAAAAGGCCCCAGCTCGTGTTTTAGCTTGTATATATTAGGTTTTCAACCATTGTTGGCTTAGATCTAAGATTTTGAGAATTCAGAGAGCTTTAGAGAAGATTTTATTTAGAGCTTTTGGGGAGACAAATCCTATACTCTTTTTGGAGAAGATTTCGAACCCCTTTATCTTTTATTCTTTCTCTTTAATGCAATTTTATTCAGCAATGTTTTGTGATTCCATGATCATGTCTGAGTAATTTGCTAGTTAAGTTAGGGCTTTTCAAAGGTTGATGAAGAGTTTGTAGAATTGCTTTCTGTTAGGATTATCTTTTGGTTCTTCATATCTGCTTGCTTAAAAATCGATTTCTTAGACACATCATCTAGAAATCCGAAAATTATAGGTTGTTTAATAGATGTGAGAGCATTACTGATAACCTGATCTAGCATTAGATGAGCAAAACGACTTAGTGCAAAGAGATTTGGCTTATGAGTTTTGTGAACAATTGAACTTGATCATTACTGCATGTTTAGGTTGTTAGGGTTTGCGAAGAGATTTGAAACTCTGTGATTTAGACATAGCTAACTTCTGCAATGAGAATTGATTAGTTATATATTTGCAATTCATGTTCAAGACGGTTCTTAATCATTCCTAATTTCATGCATTCTACATTCTCGGATTCAACCTGCGAATTGTCCTGACTTAACGCTTTTCGTCTTCTGAAACTTAGATCAACAAACAAATTTCGTCTGCTTTCTTTTATATAGTTATTTCGCATTATATTCATTATTTACTGCTTAGCTTAATCTGAACCTACAAATCGTTAGTGTAGTAAGCTCACTCCCTTGGGATTCGATAACTTTTTATGCTACAACTGCTTTGTTGTGCACTTGCAGTAGTTAAATAATTGGGTAAAACCTGAGCCCTATCCAGTTTTTGGTGCCGTTGCCGGGGAGTAATAGCTGCCTATTCGCTTTTTAGTATTAGGATTTTGTCTAAGT